CCTACAGAAAGTCATGAAGACTGGGATCGCTGTTTGAAATAGAAGGGACCTGATCTTTTCTGGTAGTGGTGGACTGAGCCAAACTGAAGTAATTTCTGCCTATATATATGCTGACTTCTTGCCTTGGATCCTGCCATGGATTCTTGATCTTCTAACCATTCAGATAAAGGATCTGTAAAAGTATGACATAGATCCTGTCCTGTCAATACACCTGTGTTTTTTTTGAGGATTTTTGCCCCATTAGGGAGTGAGAATAAATCTGTGGTGTGTATCTAGACCTAGGAGCTCATATGCTTCAGGATTCTCAAATTTGAATAGCTTCTTAGACATAAGAAGCCTTTGTTTTCATAAACATTGGGAAGTGCTTCAAGATAAAAAATAGACATGGTCTCTGAGAGAAATGTTCTTTGCCTTTGCTCTGTTGCTGTAAACCTTAGTAAGACTGATGTTCAGTGATGGTCAAAAGCAAAAACTAATGGCATGGCTTTGAGTGGGTTGCTTTATTTTTTGCTGAAAAAATAGAGGTGGTATTTCAGCTAATTTCTTGCATACCTTGTTCTCATTAGTCACCGAAACGTAATGCACTCGCTCCTCAGCAGTGCACAACACCTGAGACCACTGTGCAGTACAAACATTGCAATACGAGCACCTAAGCCAGCATTTTATTTGGTCCAGGTCCTTCTTACATAGTTGTTATGGTTTCAAATTTAGTCACCTTTTTGGAGTACATTTTCATAATGTGATGGTGTGACTGAATGAGTCAGAAAGTGTGCGGTGAGTGGGTGGCCCAAAGATAAGCTAAGTTTAATGCAGGCTGCCTCCAACAGAGATACTGGTGCCCTCAAAGCGAATCAATGCGTTGCGAAAGTGAATTACTATAACATGAATGTAACTTCTTTAGCAAAGCATTCCTCAGCTATGAACCTCTAGGAATGACGCATAATCGTTAGCTATGAAGAGGCGTCATTCTGTGTTTGTGGTACCCTACAAAAAGTTGTGCAGTGTAAGTGAAAATGAAAGGTCATTGTGTGTCCTGTCAGGGCTGCAGTGTGGTTAGTTCTGCTTGAAAACATTGACTTCGGCAATAACAGAATTTGTCATCACAATTCATTCAGAAAAGCAGCTGTGAGTCCAAAATAACAGACTTTGTGGTTTAGACATCAGAATTGATTCGGTGATATTCCTGTACCGCCGTTAGTTCCAGCAGTTGGATACGACATAAAAGATGTCCCTGTGTAGCCACCAAATCTCAGATACATACATTATATAGCCAGAAAAAACAAAAATCCCTAATGGTGTAGTGTAACTTCTGTGTAAAACAGACCTTTAGCCACCTTCTAAGTCTTTTAAAAATCAACAAATACTGTTCTTCTGTTTCTCAGGGCTACCTTGATACACAACTTCTGAAATAAATTTGTTTGGATTGGATAAACTGAAAAAATTGCTTTATATTTCTACAGTGCCCCTTAAAATTGTTAAAAGCTTTATAAACAATTGCTTCTATTTGTACTGTGCTTCTATGAGGGAAATAAGTATGAATTAAGGATTTTACATTTTATGTAAGTTAAGGTTCTCTTTGCTGCTTTGAATATCTGATCTAATGGGAGAATTTGGACCCTTCCAGGGGAAGTAATTTGTAAACTGTGCTACTATGTCATCTTCTTCTTAGGGGAGTAATTTCTTTTTCTTCTTTGATATAATGTCTAAGGAAATATTGAAATGGGCCTGAAAGAATCAATGATTTCCACTGCGAGAAGAAAAGTGACTGATTTTAGTACTTATGCACCTAAAATACTTCTAGAGAAAAATGTGTGAACAAATAGGAAGCCTAAAGCATGTGCTGTACAGGCCCAATTTAAAGAATATGACACAAAATGTGACCAATTTTATAGCAAGACTGTAACATTAGTGGGGAGAGAATGGACTCAGAACTGTAAAATGCTCATGAGAGAAAGGAAATAAGGAATCAAACATCTCCACAGAACTTGTAATTAGGAAACTGCTGAATCTGAATAGACAAACTTTTTAAATCTGGCAAACAACATTTCTAAGCTGTAAATTTGAATCAACATGTGCAACTGAGAAAATACAGAAAGTGGACTTTGAAAAATACACCGCAGATTTCAAGAAAAGATATTCTAAAGTAATGAAATTAGAAAATGTCATTGTATGGTAGGCAAACGGGAATTTACAGTATTGCAAAATCTGGCTATGAAATGAAGAGTCAGCAAGTTCTGTTCTCTTTTTCTGGGTTGCAGTGGATAAAAAACCAAATACTTGTAAAGGATGAATTTGCAATGTGTGGCTTTGACAAGCAGTTAAAAACTGGCTGAAATGAAGAGAGTTTTCTGTATGCAATTGTCATAAAACTTTCACATGCATTCTGCAGTTTTTCTTGACACGTGAGACCGAGATCAAAAGTAAGTTGAAGTTTGATATCAGGGCGCTGAAGGCAGTTTTTCAGAACATTCTAAAAATCCCAACAATAAATGATCTGGATGTGCAAATCTTTTTTATATAAGAGTATGCTGGGGGGTTGATTTTTGGTGTATATCCAAAACCTGAGACTGTATGCACACAGGACCTGTGGTAATAGTAAAAACATGTCACAATTTATTTCAGTACGTAAAAGCATTCTGTTGTCCTGCAGGACTGTTGGCAGCAAAAAGGAATATCTGAATAGAAATGGATCTTTATCTCCTCTTTGATTTAGGCAGGTTGCACAGTACTACAAATTCCACAGTGCTGGACAGAACAATACATGTATCTCTTTCAAAACTGTGTAATTTGAAACTACATTTGCAGGCAGACGATTTGTAAATTTTTTTGCCTTGCATGGCCAGTGTGGCAGAGTAGAGGAGGTCACTGTAATTCATAGCACTTCATGATAAAGGAAACAGCAGTGAGTTATGGAAAAGATTCTCCTGCTGTTCAAGAGCAGGAGGATGCTTTTCTAAGAAAATTTGACATGGGGACTATGGGTGGGATAGGGACTGGGGAATTGGAAGCTGCTGTTTACGTTCTTACTCTGTCACTAGTCTATGTAAACCAGTGAGCACCTTTGACAAATTGCCACTATAATTGTCTATTACCTACGCTTAATTTTTTTGTGCCTTTTAAGTATGACGATAATATTTCCTTTGTCTGTTTAGTTTGCAAGCTCTGCCTGGTGAGGATAATTTGAACTATTTTTACATGTGGCATGCTAAAACTGATCTTAGTTGTAGCTTTTATGTTTTATGGCAGTGAAAAAAGCTGTTCTGAACATTTTTGAGGCTTATGGTATCTCTGAGAGGTGTTATTGTCACCTGGTACACCTGGTCATTTAAATAGAACAATTAAAGAACAGCAGTGTGTTGAATGTGGCAGATAGTTTTTAAGTTAAAAAAACCCCAAACTGATAGAGAAACAGTACTTACTAAAATTCTAAAAAGCATAAAAATGTAAATTAAGAATTCTGTTTTGGTTTGCTTTTCTCTCATGAGGAGCATAAAAGGGCATGAGTGATGCCAATAATGACACCCAAAACTGTTATTTCATTGTGAAATAGAAGTGTAACTTCTTGCAATAAGAAACATGTAATGGACCTCAGCCTGAGTACCATGAAAGCCTAATAATACTTTTTTTTAATTTTGTAACTTGTAAGGAAACCATCTATTTCCTGAGAAGAGAACAAAGCATGCACTTAGACTCTATTCCATTATTTATGTTAGGCTAAAGAAAACTTTTCTGCTTATGGGCTGTATGGGAGATAAGGGAACCATTGCCTGTGTGACTTCAGTTTTGTTCTTTTTGATACAGATAGGGTACAAAAATACTTACGAGAAACAGTGCAACCTTAGAATACGATTGTGAAAAATAGATGTTCTTGGGGTAAGAGATAGTTTAGTGGATGGTGAAAAAACAGATGCTCTGTTTGAAAAGTACGGTATACAAGGCTGAATATTAATGTTTTGATGTAAAATGCTTAGAAGGAGAAAATCATGGGAGTAGTAAAGGCCTAAAATCATGGGAGAAGGAATAGTCACTTGCAATAATTATATTTCCTCTTCTGCCTTATCCTCACAGTGTGATGTTTCTGCTTCTTTGGAACCTGTATACATAATGAGTTTATGATATGGCAGATAGAAATACATCAATACAATTTGTCTACTGTATATAAACTGTTGAATGCCAATTGCTGTCTAAGGAATAGAGTAGAATTGAGGTATTTCTGCATGTCTGAGGTGAAGTTTTACTGGGTGGGAATAAAATGGGTTATGACGCCCTTGTTAATTAGCACTTACTGATTTAACGTGTCTCCACCTCAGTTAAGAGGGAAGTACTGTTCAGTGTTTCTTTATGCACTGCAGAATACTCTCAGGTGTGATATGAAGGAAGTGCAGGTCCAGTTCTATTTAGGCTGAACTGAATTTCTTGTGCAGCTGGGAGGTTCAGTGAGACAATCCAGCAAGGAGTAACCTTGGGGGGGAAAAAAAAAGTGACTACCTTTTTGGCTGAAGTCAGCTGCCCTGGCTGGCTCAACCATCCATTTGCATGAGTGTTAGTGAGGACACAAGGGAAGGGGCACAATTGTGTAGGTGGGGATGAAGGGATGAATAGGGCTGCTCCAATTTAGATCAATTTAAACTGATGTAAACCAGCATGAGATTGCAATTAGGTGAAATGGGCTAAGTGGTTTTATCTGTCCCTACAGGAAAAGTAGCCCATCAAAAAGCCCAAACAACAACAAAAAAATCTATTTTCTGCTGGTTTAATGGGCTGAATCAGCTCTCCAAAGGATTAGATGAGTACCAAAGCTGGCACAAGAGCCGGAGCGAGCAAATGCAACTGAAAATGAGGGGAGGAGAGCAAGACATAGCATTTCAGTACCAGTAAGTTGTTAGATTTGCTTAGTCTAACTTTAGTGTGTAAGACTTTGGTACCAGCATCAGCTTAAGTCAACATAAACGCAGGCTGCAGTCAAAGGAGTCGAAGACACATTCTCTTGATTGATAATCTGGGTGTAGATAATTTACATATTATCAGGAAATAGTAGAATTTGAGTTTAAGGTGAAGAAGAAACGAACACAGAATAATGAAAATGGATCTAGGAAAAAAATTAAGTAAGTTAGAATGCAGCAGAGGCAAGCATGCAAGAGAAGAATAGAAATCATGGATCATTATTGGTGAATGATAGCTGTTTATCATCAGGATACAGTCTTAAGTCTTTATTAAAGATGGTTAATTTTGAGAAGTGCTTAACACAACTAAGAGGATTCACTCATGGGCTCAGGGCAAGAACATGTTAAAGAATGTTGGGTAATATAGACATATTTATGTTATCACTGACTCAAAACATCATCTAAAGTACTTATAGGACAGCTGACAAATTTTTGGAGTTGTTACTGATTTTGCTGGTAGGTATGTGTCGGGGCTTTGAAAACATGCCCCACTTTTATTAAGGTAAATGTAGAAATTAGACCAGCGTGTATAACTTCAGGACACAACTCTGGTGTATGGAAAGATGCGAGACCACGCTGGTAGACAATCAGTTCATAAATGCCTAGAACATAATACATGCTTAGAGGCAGCCACTATGGATTTGTTAAAAGTAAATCTCTTCCTTTGAGTAGCTGCTCTTGTGGGTAAGAAACAGATGCAACATATCTTTATTTTGGTAAAGCCTTTTATATATTCCTGTACATATTAGTCCTTTTCTATCTGTATAATTGTGCTAACCTCTTGGCTAAGGTACTGTTGAACATCCTTAGAAAATTTGTAAGAAACATTGAGGTGAAGAGGGTTGTAGACACTATGAAGATCAAGACTAGTTTTTTCAACAGTGCTCAATATATTTGAAAAAAATTTAGATGCAAAATCAGCAACAGGAAATTCAGAGTCATGTACTAAGAACTGAAAAAAATTTGCAAGTGCAGAATGTAATGTAACAGAAAAAATGGGACAGGGCATTAGTTGATCTAAGCAACATGAGCATAATTTTAACAAACAAAACCTGCATACCCACCCCAATGCCCTTGCAAAAAAGGGAAATGTAGTTCTAGGATGCATTAACCTCAGCATCATATGTGAAATGGAAGAATTCCATTCCAGTCAGCATTGTTGGGACCTCGGTACGAATAGACTGTCCAGTTTTGGCCATAACCATTCAAGAAAGATTTGTTGCACTGGAAAACATCCAGTAGAGAGAAACAAGAATAAGAGGAAAAAATGACATATGAAGAAAGGTTGGAAAAACACTTTATTCATAGCAATGAATCGGTTTATGTAGTGTGCCTCTCTTGTGATTGTAAATGGGAACAAACAGTTAAGCTGTGTCTTATAAGGCAGTATTTCTCTTACTCAGTTTTGTAAATCTGATTTTCTAGTAGACAAGCTTTTACTCCAGTAATAATGCTTATCTGCTAGCCAGCCCATCTGTTTCTATTTCTCCTTGTAGGTTAGTACAATTTGGCAAATACACAAGCGTTCAAACACAGGTGTTCTTGGATGTCTGTCCTAGCCAAAAAGCAAAAAAATCTGTAAATTTAAGTTGTATAGCTTGAGACTAACTTAACCTAGCTAGACAACTGCTGGGAAATGTGACACTGAATCACCAAGCTGGGCACCATCTGGACATTCAACAAACCTTTGAACCTTTCTGTAGAAGAAAATCAGTAATTCTGTTGCATTCTTTTCTCTGCCTGTTTCTTGGCCTGTTTTTGATGGGTGAAAAGTGAGGTGCAGACGAGCCCTTCTAGCCAATCCAGTTATATGCCAGATTTTAAATCTGAAACCTGCCTGAGAGTTAACTTGGGGAGATAAGCAGTGGTTTCCTCCGAGTGTCTGGAAACCCTTCCTTATAAGGGAGCAAATGCAGCAAACCGCTTGAGATGCATCTGCCTGTGGAGCAAGTTGCTATGCAGATGGAGGGAGGGGTTAGAACACACCTCCTGTTTTTTCTAACACATTCCCTCTTTCAAAAAGCTTGGGGTTCATATGCAGAAAGGGGAAATTCCCATACTGGTAGCTTTGTAGGGGGGAAAGTGTCTGCCAAGAGAGTGAAGTTTGGGGGAATCCTATACCCTTGGGAATCTTTCTGAATTTTGTGCAAGAAACTACATACAGGAAGAATGTACATCCTGAAGCTGCTATTGATCTTCTTGTTAATTATGTTTCTATTCTTGTTGTTAACAATCATAGAACCACTTAGGTTAGAAAAGACCCTCTATGAAAGGGGGTAAAAGAAAAGGCTTCCAGACAATTCCTGCATCTGCCGTACCATAAAGCTTTACTTCATTATATTTTAGTCAGGTTGCACCTGTTTTGCTAGGCTCAGGTTAAGGACAAAATAATTCTCAGTGTTAATCTATATAGAATCTGGAGTGCTGGTGTACTGTGTCCAGTTCTGGGCTGCCCAGTACAGGGGAAAGATGGAGCTACTGGAGAGAATCTGGCAAAAGGCCACTGTGATGGTTAAGAAATCTCCTAGATGAATCTAGAAAGTCTCTCATGTGAGGAAAAGCTGAGAGCGCTGGGACCTGGAGGATGCAAAGAAGACGGAGCCCAGTCACAGGACAAGGGGCAGTGGGTACAAAATGAAACGCAGGAGGTTATGTCTGAACATAAAGAAGCACTTTTTACTGTGAGGGTGATGGAGTGCTGGAACAGGCTGCCCAGCAAGGTTGTGGAGTCTCCATCCTTGGAGATACTCAGAAGCTGTCTGGACATGGTCCTGGGCATCCAGGACCTAGGTGCCCTAGATGATCTGTGCAAGTCCCTTGCAACTTCAACCATTCGGTGATTCAAAGAATCACCAGTGGAAGAGAGGCTCGTGAGCAGGTTTTTCAGTGGTGCTTCAAGGAAGGAGAAATACTATAAACTGCTTTTATCTATACTTACTGTGCATCATGTAGTTCTGTGAACAGCAGAGTTACATGTATTGAAAGGTCAAGCCTTCTAAGTATGACTAGATCTTTCAGAATAAATGTATGTTTTTGGCAGATAATTTATAATAATTTCTCATGCAGAAGTTCTTTTCAATTTTACTGCAGATGGCTTAGGAGGATATTTATTTAATATTGCCTTGAATTAATTTGTACTGCTTCATTTTGCATTGCAGAGATGAAAGAACACTTATTAACAAAAAGCTGACAGAAGGCTCCTCTGTCCACCTTTTCTCTTCCTCTTATGCTGTCTTTTTATAAATCTGATTTCTGTGTCCAGTTATTGTATTTTCTTGATATAATAAAAATAACTTCAACTGGAAAGCGTAGAAGGGACAAGGCATATCAGTTGCAGAACTGTAACAAAATTCCTTCACCTTTCAACTCTTCCTGCTTGTGTTTCTCACTATTCTTTGTTCTTTACTTTGTTCTTTATCCTTTTGTCGAAGTGTGGCAATTTAGTGAGTTGTGGTTCCAGTTTCTAGCTGACATTCCTGGCTGGCGCCTTCAGATGTGGCACCAAGTTTCCTATCATTTTCATTTCAGCTACATATAGTAGACCCCTTTGTCTAATAGACTGTTTTAAACTGTTGCAGTCCTTGGCGGCAGTAATTCACTGAGGAATTGCTGCAGCACACAGATTTATGCCTTAGTTACCAGGTGCAACATTTAACTGTCGTTGCAAAAGCAGTTTGTGAATGTATGGCATAAATCTGAGACCCTGAAAGTACTTTCCTTATCCTTATCAGTTGCAGGCAGCCCTGAAGGCCTCTCCTTGCTCAGTTTCTCAGTCCCAGTTTAAAGAACCTCCTTCTCTTTGAGCTGCGGCACCTTTTTCTCTGTGTGTGGCAGACCTATGGATATAGGTCTGTCTGGAACTGTTCCCCAGCTCTGCGATCACACATTTGTCCATCTGCAGTAATAGTACTGTAGGACAAGAGGGTATGTGCCCCTCAACAGTTTGCATTGGGAGGGTGCTACAGCCTCTGTAGCATCAGTTGTAAATCAGTTCCCATCAGTGTCTTTGCATCAGCACAATGCATTTTTTCCCTGCAGTCTGTGCAATCCCATCTTGAATGCTGCTGCTTTTTTTGCTTCCAGCCATCTATGTCTCCAGGGGCTCAGAAGGGCTGATTGCTCACATCTTTCATTTCCAGGGCTAAGGATAGACTTGTCAGTGCTCCTGATGGTCTCTGGAGTGGTGAATTCTTCTCTGCATATTACAAGAAGTCCTTCTCCAGCTGTTCTGTTCAACTCTGGCATCTGGACAAGAGCCTATAGCTTTGGTTGTGTTGAATAACTAAAACTGCATCTGAACAGCAACAGAGCGCTTCTCCGGACCTGCTGCTGCTGACATAGTTTATTCCATTCTGTACAGTCTGTCTCTGGTCAGGTGATGCCATGACTCCTGTGAACTCCTTGTGGGACTGTCCATCAGCACTCACTGCTTTGCTTCATTGTTCCAGTTAAGCCATTTTGCTATTTATTTTCTGTGAATATGCAGAGCAGTCTAGAATTTACTCTTTAAGGTGATCTTGATTGTAATGTTAAAGTCTTTGAATGCGCATTCCTGTTACTTAGGAATAAATAGGATATATATTGCTGAATAAAAATGTTTTCCCTTTACAACATAAATCAAGTGTCTAGTACTATAAAGGCTAGACCAGAGTTGGTGAGATGTTTATTTGGTTCTAAAGGCCACTTTAAAACCTCTACTTATTTCTAATCAGTGAGCCATTACAAGCTTTTATCTTTTGTTTTCAGCAATCCTTTAGTGCAGAGTTCTTATTACAAAGGCAGCCCAGCCAGCTATAATGTGTTGTCACTACATTTAATGGTGGTGATTTATGTATATTAAGCTAAGGAAGAGCTTATCTGTGTTTTAACACACTCACTGGTGACTTGGGTATAATCTGACTTTCTCTCAGAGCTCAATAGCAAATTAGAACAATCGCTGCAGGGTGTAAGTTTGGAAATCTCTTCTTTCAGGTCTACACAGGTATAGCTGGAGGCTCTGCTATGAGTTTGGAGACATCCTAGTCAAGCCGTGTCCAGCAAATACCCACAAAGCATCACCCTAGCTGACTCCATGATGTTACAGCCTTGAGAAGTGGGGACAGACTCTGACCTACCTTTTTTACCATGTAAAATACAAGTGGTAGAATGAAAGTTAGCATAAACAAAAAGTAGGCTGTGGAGGCAGTACTGTGTTGTTTGGTTGTTTTTTTTCTGAACACAGCTTTTTTGGCTTTCACTGTGTGATGAGCAGCTGAGTTGATTTAAAATCTTCTGCTGCCTACAGGGGTAAGTTTTTTATTTTGCCCTTATTTAAATTGATTAATTCAATAGAAAAAGTATACCCCCATTTACTTGCACAGGCAGTACTGCTGTTGCAACTGCATCAGTTACCTCAAGGAGCTGACTGAAAGATTGTGTATTTTCAAACACATCAGTTCCCTGAACCTCATTGCAATTTCTTAAGTGTTAGTGCATATGCAAGAGACATGAGTGGCTGGCTGGGCTTGAAATTTCTGCAAGGGCAGATGAGCAGTTTGGGTTTAGACTGGATTAAACTCATACAGAATCACAGCCTTAATCCTTGGATATAGTACATTAATCTTAAATGTATACCAAACTCTGGGGACAGGGCATCATCAGTAAATTAAATTGGTCCTTAAACTTGTCACTACATTCCCTCCCACTCTTGTCCACGGGAGGGAAAGACACTAGTAAACACTGCCAGCTTTTCTTCTCCTTCTTCCGAT